AGAGAGAGAGAGAGAGAGAGAGAGAGAGAGAGAGAGAGAGAGAGAGAGAGAGAGAGAGAGAGCACGCATGGAGACAACAGGACGTCGAGGAGGAATTAGAGAGACGAAGAGAAGGGAAGGGAGGGGAGGGAGAGAGGGAGGGAGAAGGGGGAGGGAGGAGGGGGAGGGAGGGGGGGAGGAAGACGGGGAAATATAGGAAGAAGGAGATCGCAGGAAGAAATAGACAAGCTGTTGGTAGGACAAGTCCTGAGAGAGAAAGTGTAACCAGTTGGTAAGCAAAGACGTTACATGCACAGAAAAAGAAAGAATTTCTTTTTTTTTAAGCGGCCGCGGCTATGCCCGTGATAACAAAGGGGAAGGACTTTGAATTGTTAAGGAATTGTTAAAAAAAAAAAAAAAAAGGAAAGGCCCTCTCTCACACTCGGATGTATTTTGGTCAAGCAGCTTTTGTGAGTTGTAAGTAATCACATGGGCGAGGTCTTTTTTTTCTTCTTCTCTTACTCTATCTCTTTGCCTCCTTCCCTCCTCTCTCTCTCTCTCTCTCTCTCTCTCTCTCTCTCTCTCTCTCTCTCTCTCTCTCACGCCGTCCCTCCGTCCCTCCATCCCCCCCCTTAGAGAGACCCTGTCGGTAGAATTGAGTTCTTTTCGGTCTCGCAATTTTGTAAATTAGGGCCCTCAACAGATCATTTGGCACCTTTTTTTTTATAATTAGGTGTCCATTGCGCGCCATTTCTTTAGATGATAGGATTAAATGTTGTCGGGTCGATAATCTATCATCATCATCTGAAAAATGACTTGTAACGGACAAGTCAAATGACCTCCTCTCTCCTTTCTCCCTTCTCCTGTCTCTTACCTGATTCGATCTTACTGGAGTTTCTTTTTTATTTTCCTTTCTTTCTTTCTTTCTTTTTTAAAAGGGCGACGGCCTTTAGATATCGTCCTTGATCTGACCGGCCCCAGGTAAATTAAATCCAGAATGATTTTAGTATTCTCTTTCATCTGAAGGTATCTGGATTCGAACTTGGGTCTGATTCGTCTTTCAACAGTCCAGGGTGGGTGTACCAACTGAGCTACGCCCGTAGGTAAACGGGAGATATGGAGGTCGATATTATCCCCAAGGGGGACCACAAGGATGGATGTCACATAAGGAGAAAGGAAATTGAAGACCGCGATCCCGTCTTCCTCTCTCGACCTGCTTTTCACGCACTGAAGTGATTGTTTTTTGCTTTGACGATTTTTATTCTGTTCATCTGATTTCATCTGGACCCTTGGGGATATCGAATTTCAAGCATGGAGACATAAGGAGCAAGGAAATCGAAGACATCGTGATTGCGTGGGAATCACCAGGACTTGGAAAAGCAAAAGACTTGCGGCTTTCGCAGTTTTGCCCGGGACTTCGGTAGATGACACGTGGAATCTCGTCATGGTTGCAGCATCCCGACTGATTACACGGCCGGTAGGGTTCACTTGTGCTGGGGAGCCTCGTGGGTGTACCTTGCTAGCCTCGGGATAGGGTAGGGTCAGCAGAGCAGAGGTGATATACTAATACCAGTTCCGGTCTGGCAATGTGGGCACATGACTGGTGTCCATGCCCTGTAAGAAGCAAATGCCTTACAGGACTGGTTGTTGGTAAGTAGGATTTGGATAGCTCAGCAGCAGGTTTCATGGCTGGGTTTAAAGCCCTTGGGAGATAGAAAACAGAAGGATGGCATACTCCTGTTTTTGATGTTAATCAGGGGAAAGAAGAAAACAGGGAGAGGGTTGCAGGAGGGAAAGAATCAGGGGCACGAGGGCAAGAAGAGGATGTGGACAGGGTTCTAAACGAACGGCACAGTGGGGAGAGAAAGGAGAGTGGAGGAGGAGGAGGAGGAGACGAGGAGGGAGAGTTCGTGTGCGCTTCGGCCGTCATCGAGAGGGAGGAACGGTGCAGAGGAGAGCATCAGCGAGGGGAGGTGATAGAGGGCGTGCTCGGAGTGTGGAGATTGAGAGAGAGCCGTCCAAGGAGAGAGCTCAGAAGAGCGCCTTTCCTGTGATCCAGCGGATAGGTGGCAGCACCGGGCAGATATGTACGGCGGAGATGAAGTGTCAGCACTTGTAATCGACGTGGGTTGGAACACTTGCAAGGCTGGTTATGCTGGAGAAGATGCGCCGAAAGCTGTGTTTCCCTCGCTTGTTGGTGTGATTGAGAAATCGGGGGCTGCTGATGGCTCTGCAGCAGCTTTGGGCAATGGGGATGTTGAAATGGGAGATGCTGAAGAAAAGAGAACAGGGAACAAGCCTGGTGGCGATGGCAATGACAAGGCTCGCAAAGCCAACAGAAAGCTTTATGTAAATGCGTTGGGATTCCGTCGGGATTTTATGGAGGTTGTCCCAACTGTAAAGGAAGGACTTGTTGCGGATTGGGACCTCGTGGAAGGCTTATGGGAGCACGCATTTCGAGAAAGGCTTTTGGTTGACCCAAGGGAACATCCCATGTTGCTGGCAGAGCCGTCGCACAACACCAACAGCAGCCGTGAGACGACGGTTGAACTTATGTTTGAGAAGCATCAAGTTCCAGCGCTGTTCCTGGCAAAGAATGCGGTGCTGACATCGTTTGCATCGGGGCGGGCAACATCGCTTGTTGTTGACAGTGGTGGCGGGTCAACAACAGTGGCTGCCGTCCATGATGGTTATGTTCTGCGAAAGGCTATAGTGAGATCTCCTATTGGAGGTGATGCTCTCACAGAGGCGATGCTGAACACAGTTGAGAGCATGAACGTTATGATAAAGCCGCGATATTCCTTCAAGCGGACAGAAGTACGACTGGGGGAGTTTAGGGTTACAGATTTGGATCTGCCAAACACGACAGAATCCTACAGGAGATACCAGCAGCGGTGTATTGCAGCCGACATCAAGGAGTCTGTGTGCAGGGTAGCTGATTCCACGTTTGAAGAGAAGCAATACCAGAATATCCCAACACAACCATACGAACTGCCAGATGGAAACATCGTTGAGATTGGAGCTGACAGGTTCAGGATTCCGGAGATCATCTTCAACCCATCTATACTGAAGTCCATACCTGGCATGGAAAAGGTTGCGGAGGAACAAGGACGGATCTCTGGCCTTCCGACGATGGTTTTAGAGAGCATAAACAAGTGTGATGCAGACATACGACGAGAGCTATTCAGTGGGATCCTGCTAGCAGGAGGAAATGCAGTGATGACACAAATGAAGGAGCGGCTGGAAAAGGAACTTATGGAGGAAGCACCACAAGCTGCACGGGTGAAGGTCATCTCCTCTGGAAACAACATTGAGCGAAGATTCAGTGTATGGATCGGTGGTTCCATTCTGGCTTCTCTTGGGTCTTTTCAACAGATGTGGATGTCAAAGCCAGAGTATGAAGAGAACGGCCCTTCTTTCGTGCATCGCAAGTGCCCATGAGCTGAGAGTTGACTGTAACTTGCCTAGTACCTCTTGTCGAAGTGTTAACTCCTCTTCAAAGCGGCCACTTGCCCATGACCTGAGAGTTGACTGTTTCAAGCTTTTTAGAAAGTCAACTCTCAGGTCAGTGGCACTTTCTAAGAGTTGACTTTCTAAGAGTTGACTTTTTAAAAAGCTGAGGCAACAACACAAATGTTGTGGCTCGTTCGGCTACTCGGAGAATGCCTGCGATGTCCTCAAACAATGAGACGAGGAAACCAGTATGGCAATGGGATCAGTTGACTTTCTAAGAGTTGACTTTTCTAGACTGCTTGTGCGAAGCTGCAGGCGTCGGAGATGCTGCTTCAGTCTATTTTCAGCGCCACTGCGCAGGTGAAGTTGTTAGTCAGTCAGTTTTGGCTAAAGGATCATATTCAGTTTGATGTAAAAAGGTATTCTGCGTTGTTCACGGAATGAAACAGGCCTGTGGGCAGTTCACACGGGCAGTGGCAAGAGTGCACAGGTTTCTTAATGGAGTATAGGGGAAAGGAGGTGGTTGCTGCATTTGCTGCATGAACGCTGCAGCTGGGAACGTTCTATGATTATTTACTTGCCCACCAGCTCCAGTTTCTTTCATTCRCAGAATATATACCTATCAAGGAGGGGTGCAATTGGGCAATTGGGTAAGAAGGTGTGTCTTTGTACCCCAAATGACTTCCTCTGTGTGGGGCTTCCTTGTTGGACTTGGTGGCACACTAAGTGGACCTTCGTCTGCAGAAGTTGAGAAGTAGGAGGGCATCTACAACCCATGATGAATGAACCGTTTGACCGGCGCTTAGTAGGCAGGCAGTTGTCTCCCATCCCTCCCCCATCTCTTTGATGAGGCCAAGCATGGCTAACTATACATTGTGTCAGCAAGTAGTGTGGATGGGTCATAGTGGTGCAATTGGTTCAATTTGAAAAAGTGAATCTAATGTCTACTATGAATAAATAAATAAATAAATAAATAAAATTCGAAGACATCTGGATTCGATTTTTATTCTGTTCGTCTGATTTCATGTGGATTCGAACATGGGTCTGGATTTCAACAGTTCTTGGGTATGTACCAATGAGGTATAGGCCCGTTGGTTTGCAGAGAAAAAAGACAAAGACTGAAGAAACGAAATGACTGCATCTGGTCGCTATTCCCGTCAGTATCGAGATACCGACCCAGAAAGCGACACGTGTACAGGGAGAAATGAATCCTTGCAGCGAGGGGATTTTTTTTTTTTTTTTTTTGAGTGTCGTTTTGTCGTTTCCTGCTGATGGACGAAGGGAGCGATGTAGTTCCTCACCTCAGGGTATTTTTTACTTATTTCTAGATGTAATTGCGGCCAGATACATTCTTGTCGGATTGCAAACACGGCCAGATACATTTAAGGCAGTGCTAGTGTGAGTACACCCTCAGTGGTTCTTTTTTCTTTTGTTGTTTTGGGGTTTTGTGTCCCGACGAAGAATAAAAAATCATCATTCGTGTAAAAAAAAACAAAATAGAGAACATCACTCGTTACGCGAAGCAATATTCTGTGCATGTTTACAACGAAAAGCAGCAGAAACAGAAACGCAGCTGTGGTAGACAAATCTCTCTCTCTCTCTCTCTCTCTCTCTCTCTCTCTCTCTCTCTCTCTCTCTCTCTCTCTCTCTCTCTCTCTCTCTCTCTCTCTCTCTCCC